TGCTACTCCCTTTTATTCTATTGGCTTTTGAAAGCCAATAGAATAGACTCTCTTGAATAGAGTCTAATTCTATTGGCTTTCAAAAGCCAATAGGAATTATCCAGGCTGTCTCTGCCCTGCTGAGCCCACCAAAAGTCCCATTCTGCAAATGGTGCTGCACCAGTTGAGTAGTCCTCGACTTACGACCGGTTGAGTAGTCCTCGACTTATGACCGATTGGGGGTTGCGGCATTAAAAAGGTTGAGAACCACTGATTTATGTGATCTCTCAAATATCAACCTTGAAGGTCCTGTTCTGGTAGACCAGTTGAAGTTGCTTTATAAAGTTCCTTTGAATTAAGCTGTGGTGACGCAGTGATTAGAATGCAGTACTGCAGGCTAATTCTGCTGACTGCCGGCTGCCAGCAGTTCTGCAGTTCGATTCCCACTGGCTCAAGATGATTTCAGCCTTCCATCCTTCCCAGTTCGGTAAAATGAGGAACCCAGATTGTTGGAGGCAATATGCTGACTCTGTAAACTGCTTAGAGAGGGCTGTAAAGCACTGTGAAGCGGTATATAAGTCTAAATGTTATTGCTATTGTTATTAATAACGATAAAGGTTTTCCCCTGTCCAGTTGTGTCCAACTCTAGGGCACAATGCTCATCTCTGTTACTTAACCAATGGAGCCAGCATTGTCTGAAGATACGTCTATGGTCATGTGGCCACCATAACTATATGGTGAATTACACAATACACTGTTACCTTCCCATTGAGGTGGTACCTATTTATCTATTCACATTTGCATGCTTTCAAACTGCTAGGTTGGCAAGAGCTGGGGTGAGGATGGGAGCTCACCCCATCTTGCAGCACTTGGGTCTTGAACATAGGCTGTCAGCTTAAACACTGAGCCATGGCACCCCCTATTGAGTTAATAGTGAATTCAATATTTTGAAATAAATTGGTAGGAGGACCCATCCCAGTTCTGCCAACTTGTTTAATGTTCAGATCACAAAGCAAAAGAGATTTCCCGAGGCATTGCTTTCACAAACAATGTAGCACCATAAAAAAAAAACATTCCTTGTTGACAAATTAACATTTCTGTTGTATCATCAACATTCAGATTCCATTTCAAGCACAATTCTTTCCAAGATAACACCTGTGCATAGCTTAAAATTTACAGTATACCCCAAGTTGCAGATAATAAAATTCAGGATGCTTTTCAGACTGGAGAAAGAGTCTAAAGCAGTGGTTCTCAACCTTTTTAATGCCGCGACCCCCAACCGGTCATAAGTCGAGGACTACTCAACCGGTCGTAAGTCGAGGACTACTCAACTAGAGCAGCACCGTTTGCAGAATGGGACTTTTGGCGGGCTCAGCAGGGCAGAGACAGCCTGGACAATTCCTATTGGCTTTTGAAAGCCAATAGAATTAGACTCTATTCAAGAGAGTCTATTTATTGGCTTTCAAAAGCCAATAGAATAAAAGGGAGTAGCACAGCTAAGGAAAAGGGGGAAAAAATGGCAGACTGCGTTGTTTGGCGACCCCCGTGAAATGATCGTTCGACCCCAAATGGGGTCCCGACCCACAGGTTGAGAACCACTGGTGTAAAGAGTCTTAAGTAGCCTCTCTCTGTTTGTGGGATTGGGCATGTCAATTTTTTTCTAGGACATTTTGTAAAACAATTGCCCCAGATTTCCCCCAAACAGAAGAATTAGGACAAAGTTTGGGGGTATCCTGAGTTTTTGGTAGGAATGGCTGGGGTTAGGAGGCAAAAAGGCACAAAGCTGCTTTTAAGCCAAGCCATACCCTAGTTGTAAGGCTTCTTATGTAAGAAGAATGTTGTTTACAAGCAGGGCATGGCAGCTTGCTTCAAAAGAACGGCACATGGAGCTCCAAGGCTAGTTTAGTGACCTGGGTTGTACCACACCCATATCCACATGAAAGCTGGAAAAGATATTTGCCAAAGACCCCTTGCCAACACTGATCATGCAGCCCACCAATATATTACACAGATTGGAACTGGGATTCAGGTATACTCCCTGCTTTTGTTTGGTGGATGTAAAAAATACAGCTCCACACCCAAACAAATTTGATTGCTCCGACTTTACTTCCCTTCTTCAGTTGCTACAGCCAAAAAAAGCTGTGGATGCAAATCCTTCCCCAGGGCAAACAGGTTTCTTTAATTATCTAGCCTGTTTCTTTATGATATGGTTAGTCTGCAGGCAGAGATACTTTGTGGGATGTTGTTAAATTATGAAACTATTACTCAGGCTGTCATCTGACCATCTTAAAAGAAGGTGTTTATTTACACATAAGGCAAAGCCAGCATTAGTTTGGACCGTGTGAGGTTTTGCATCTAGATCAGCAGTTCTCAACCTGTGGGTCGCGACCCTTTTGGGAGTTGAATGATGCTTTCACAGGGGTCGCCTAAGACCATCGGAAAACACATATCTGGCCACCGCTGCCGCCCTCCTTCTCCGCCGGCTCCTCCACCTCCAGGGCGCCTTTCTCCAACAGCGCCTGCTCCTGCTGCCACAGTGCCATTGTGCGCGCCCCCGACGCCACCCTGGGCCGGCTCAGCTGCGTGGGTGGCCGTGCCAAGCCAAGCTGGGTCTGGGCCACTGCTGGCGCTGCCGGTGGGCTGCTCCGCCACTGCCGCCGCTTCCGGCTGAGCTGAGCTGCGGCGCCGAGCCGGTCTCTATGCCTCCTGGTTGCCTGGCCACGCTCCACCCCTGGCCGCCCTCCACGCCACTCGGGAGCCTCCTCTGCACCGCCCGGCCTGCCTCCCTCACCATCGGAGGCTGCCTCGGCCCTCTGGCGCCTGGCGCGGCTGTGGGGCTGCCAGACAGGAGCAGTTCCTTCCTGGCTTGCTGCGCTCTGGAAGCGGCCAGGGGGCGGGGAAGATGGCGAGGCAGTGGCGATGCCTGCATATGCATCGGAGGCCAGCTGGCCGGACCGGGAGGGGAGAAGTGGTGCCTTCCGAGTGGGAGCTAGTGCTCCGGTTGTGCCCCTCTTGTGTGTGATGGGCTGCGCAGCGTGGAAAGGGGCTCCCGTGACTCCGCTGCTGCTATGGTGCTCAGGAAGATAGAGGGGCGGGCAGGTCCCGGGGGGTGGCTGGGAGAGGGCAAGAGGTGCCGGGATGAGGATGGGGGGCTCCAGGTTGGCGGTGTGAGAGGGTGGCCGGCGGCTCCAAGGCGCACGGATTGTCTGCGTGGCTTCTGAGGCCCCAGAAGTGCCACCACTTGGCTCTCCACCAGGCTCTCCGCCAGAGCTTCCCCCTTCCCCGGGCAATTGTGCGGAGCTGCTTATGTGTCCTTTGCAGTGCCTCCCCCCTTCAATCTCCTTCCTTCTCCATCTCCTTCCTTTCCCCTTCAATCTTCCTTCCTTCCTTCCTTCCTTCCTTCCTTCCTTCCTTCCTTCCTTCCTTCCTTCCTTCCTTCTCCATCCCTTCCCCTTCAATCTCTCTCTCCTTCCTTCCTTCCTTCCCCCTTCAATCTCCTTCCTTCTCATCTCCTTCCTTTCCCCTTCAATCTTCCTTCCTTCCATCTCCATTTCTTCCCCTTCAATCTCTCTCCTTCCTTCCTTCCTTCCTTCCTTCCTTCCTTCCTTCCTTCCTTCCTTCCTTTCCCCTTCAATCTCCTTCCTTCCATCTCCATCCCTTCCCCTTCAATCTTTCTCCTTCCTTCCTTCCTTCCTTCCTTCCTTCCTTCCTTCCTTCCTTCCTTCCTTCCTTCCATCTCCCTCTCCATCCCTTCCCCTTCAATCTCTCTCCTTCCTTCCTTCCCCTTCAATCTCCTTCCTTCTCCATCTCCTTCCTTTCCCCTTCAATCTTCCTTCCTTCCTTCCCCTTCCCTCCCTCCCAACATTTTTGAGCAAGGAAGAGTAAGCTTCTCCAGCAAGCATTGCTATATTGTTTTTGTGATTAATCACTATGCTTTAATTATGTTCAATTCGTAACAATGAAAATACACCCTGCATATCGGATATTTACATTACGATTCGTAACAGTAGCAAAATTACTGTTATGAAGTAGCAACGAAAACAATTTTATGGTTGGGGGTCACCACAACATGAGGAACTGTATTAAAGGGTCGCGGCATTAGGAAGGTTGAGAACCACTGGTCTAGCTCCCCCACCCTGATCTATTTTAAGCTGTAGGTTGTTTGCTATAAAGCTGATCTGCTGTTTGGGATGAAGTTCTCAAAACATTTTTTTTCCTTGATGGATTTAAATCTTCCATTGACTTTTGCATAGTTCATAGGTGTTTGGCCAGGAGAAAACCTGTTTGGGCTGCATTCTATTTCCAATTTCACCTGTTGTTTTTTTTTAAAGAAAAATGAATCTGTTGCACAACGGCTGTTGCTCTTTATTAGTGACACCAAATACTACATCAATTTAGTGTGAAACAATGATATTTTCACTTCCTTATATATTCTGATCGCTCCCCACCCACGCACCCCCAAACCACGATTCAGGCTTTACTGAATTTGCAATGCAATTTGCAACTCAATACAAAGTATGCACTGAAAAGTGCACTCAAAATATGTGTGTGATAACAGAGCGCGCAGAGAAAAATTAAACGATGCTACAGAAACTTCTTTCCAAATGTATGCGTTAAGAAACATGTAGGCAAACATGCACATATTAATTTAAAGACATATTATTTTTAAGAACAACCCAGGAACCGAGACAGAATAAACTTAAGGTGTGGAAAAAAGGAGAAGCTGGCTGAAACACATCTTGAGAGATGCTTCCATCCCTGTTTTTGAGAAATAGCTATATTTTTTTCTATATGGGGAGCTTATTTCTTTGCATTTCTTACTGATATGCTAGTAAACCTGATCTTCTCTGAGAGAGAGAGAGAGAGAGAGAGAGAGAGAGATATTGGTTAAAAACCAGGCAAAAACCAAACTAATAGAAGGATGAGAAAAGAACGAGAAAAAAAGAAGTGAAGGATAAGGAGACCGGAGGATCATAGGCAAAACCAGAGAGTTCCGCAACGCGACGGATTGTCCCTCTTACCAATAGTGATACAAGCCAGAACCACAGCGCATAGCCCAAGTAACTTCCCCATGGTGAAGTTGATGCACTGACGGATAGAGGGGTAGCGACGTTATTGCAGCCCGGCGACAGCTTGGAGTGCCTGAAGTGTTCTCCCCCTCCCGCCCTCCATCCTATCTATATATCCACGTGATACGCTCCACCTTCCTCAGCCCGAATTGGCTGACTGGGTGGGTTCGGAGTAAACGGCCCTCCTTCGGCTGCGGGTGTGATCCTTGGAGGCAGAAAAGTCACACGGAGAAAGTGAGTCAGAAACGGGCAGGGAGGGGGTGGATGGAGGGGGGAAAGAGAGGGACAGAGAGAGAGAGAGAGAGAGAGAGAGAGAGAGAGAGAGAGAGAGAGGGAGAGAGAGGGTGAAACAAAAAGAAAGGCTGAAAGAACAAGAGGAGAGAAAGAAAGAAGGAAAAGGGGGAGAATAGAAAGAAAGGAGGGAAAGAAAGTCAGAAATAAAGGAAAAAAGAGAAAAAGAAAAAAGACAGGCAAAGAAGAGAGAGAGAGGGTGCAAAACGAGAGAAAGAAAGAGTGGGAAAGGAAAGAGGGGTAGAGAAGGAAATGGAAGAGCAAGGAAAGGAAAGGTGAAAAACAATAGAACAATTGAAGAAAGAATTCCAGTGGAGAAAAGAAAAGCAACTAATTCAAAAAGTGCAATGTATAGGTTACACCTCGATAGATCTTCAGAGCTTTCTTGAAGGCAAACAAGCCTGGATCTCTGCAGATTTTGAGGGAATATTGCTGTAGAAGCTTTGATATTAAAGGCACATTTCTGGATCCTATGGGATCTTACTAGAAGGGTAAACATAATGGGAGGTAGACAATCCATGTTCTAATCTACAGTGTACTCATGGTGGGATTCAAATATGTGAACAACCGGTTCTCTGTGTAGATGCTGCTTTCAGATGTCCATTCTGGGCTGGGGCAACAAAAATGAGCCAAACTGGTGAAAACTGGCTGAATTCCACCGCTGAGTGTACTCTACAGGTCTTTACAGATGCAAAGTAGCACTATGAACTGCATCCAATAGCTACTGGTAACTGCATTGATGTGTTACATAGATGTACTAAGCTATGCCCATAACTATTCACACTACCACATTGTGGACTAGTTGTCGTTTCTATGTGGTCTTCAAGGGCAGTCCCACAGAGAGTGCATTGTATGCCAGCTGGGGGATTCTGGCAGAAAAAAGCAATCTTGTTAGCTTCGGTCTTCCTCTGCCAGAATTTCAGTTCACCTTTCCAAATTGTATCAAGTTCTCTATTTGCCCAAATGGAACGTTGTCCTGAAATAACAGCTTACTAAGTTCTGAAAATGTTCTTGTGAGATAAGCAAGTTTCGATAGCCACTTGCAGTTCAGGAATGACAACCCCAGAGGGTGTTTCATTCAAGCACAGTCCCACAATTCACAGAAAAAAGTTTCAACAAGACAATCCCCTGACCACAGAACAATAAAGCAAATATATGCACTTGGAGACACTACAGGGGCCCATCTGACTAGAAATCCTGCTGTTGAGAGACTTAGTTTAAATTCAGAATTAAATGACCTCTTTAATCACATTATCCAACTCTTTTAACTCTTTTAACTCTTTCAACCAAGATGTCCAGTTGTCTTTTGAAAAGCACCATTGGGACAACCATGACCTGGATGATTGAGAATCTCCATAGACCTTTGAATTAGGATCCTTTGAATGAGAAGTCAATGAAAAATGGTTACTAGCAGATTCATATTCTTTATTCTAGAACAAAAGCCTTGCCATATTCCAAATGAATCATCAGCTCACCCACTGAGTCATTGATTCCGGGGTAGTATCACAGAATAATAGAGCTGAATAGTTCCACAGAGGTCATCCTGCCCATCCCCTACTTGATGCAAGATCTACTAAAGCATGTTTGAACACCTCCAGAGATGAATAGAGTAACAGAGTTGAAAGAGACTAGATGTAGGTCATCTAGTCCAACTGCCCACCCAAGCAGGAGACCCTACACCATTTCTGACAGATGGCAGTCCAGTCTCTTCTTTTTTTTATGAAGAAATTTTTTTTATTTATTCCTTATTGTAGTTGCTAGTTGATTGTCCACATTATCACAGTTTTCAATAACTTGTAGCTGAATGTCAAACTCTGTTATTTTTGGCAGATCAAATAGCTCAGTTAATGTTATTCTTTGATCATCAATGTTCTCCATAGGTCGTAAGTAGGATTTTGTAGAATTAATTTGCTCAGTAGTTTCTACTGTAAGTTCATAATTAAATTGTAAGTGCAGTTCCTCTGTCTCATTCAGTTGTATATTTTGTTGAATAGGAACCTCTCTAGGGTTACTCTGTTCTTCCTCCGTTATTCTTTGGTCTATATTTTGAACCGATGGTTGAAAATCAATTTGTGGTTCTCTAATATCATCTTTGATTTTTCTCCAAGATTTGATATAAACTTTCATATAGTTTGTAGTTTCCAAGTTCATAGTCGAACTGTGGATAAGATTCCTCCATTTCAATGGTGAAATAGTCTTTGATCAAGAATAGTCTTTGATCTTTTAATGAAGGCTATATTTCAAAAAGGTCAACAAATATCCACCTCCAAAATTCTAATAAACAAATTCACCACAGCTGTTGCAAATCTTTTATCTTTTCCCTTTATTTGAAAGTCAAATTCATCTTCAAATAGCAAAAGAAAATAGAGTTGTAATGGGATTTTTCGCCACAAGATGTCCTCAGTGGACTGTAAACTCTTTCTTCCAAATAGGTAAAAATTTATCTCTTTCCGGAAACAAAAAAAGCAAAAGCAAATATCTCCAATATAATAGATAAAATAAAAAATATAGTGTTTCTTTTTTATTTTTTTCAGGGCCCCTAGGTATCCAGAAAAAAAATCAAGTAGTTAATAAAGTTTTAATTATTTTAGTTCTTTTAAAACTTTCTTTCCCAAGTAGACAGAAGCTGCTCTCTTAAGAAGGGAAGTGATCAAAAACTTTTTACAGGCAAATAGTCAGGACAGAGAGAGGGAGGAAAGATCTCACCCGGATTCACCACGGTGGTTCTTTATGCTTAGATGATTTTCTGACTTCGGCTAGCGCAGCTAAGTGATTGGCCATTTTACTGGCCGATCTTCTTCTCCGTCGGCCCTATGGAGTTAGCTCGGACTGCAGGGGGAGCCGCCACTCCACTGCAGCTGAGCAAAGCCTCCTTGATGGTAGTCGCCTCTCCAGGGCAATTTAAGACACGCATAAGGGTCTACCAGCAGAGGGAAAACAGTCAACAAAGAGAGAGGTCTCTTCGTATGACTGAGGTGCTGTGATCCGGAAGTGGAAGTCCAGTCCAGTCTCTTCTTGAAAGCTTCCAGTGATGAAGCTCCCACAACATTTGAAGGCAATCTACACTATTTCATTGACTGATTGTTCTCACTGTCAGAAAATTTCTCCTTATTTCTAGGTTGAATCTCTCCTTGGTCAGTTTCTATCCATTATTCCTTGTCTGGCCTTCAGGTGCTTTGGAAAATAGGTTGTCCCCTTCTTTTCTGTGACAGCCCCTCAAATATTGGAACACTGCTATCATGTCTCCCCTGCTCCTTCTCTTCACTAGACTAGTCATGCCCAGTTCCTTAATCGTTCTTCATATGTTTTAGCCTCCAGGCTCCTAATCATCTTCGTTGCTCTTCTCTGCACTCTTTCTAGAGTCTCAACATCTTTTTTATAGGGTGGTGACCAAAACTGGTTGCAGTATTCTAGGTGTGGTCTTACTAAGGCTTTATAGAATGGTATTAGTACCTCACCCAATCTCAATTGAATGCCTCTGTTAATGCAACTTAGGTGGAGACGCATTGTACCATACCATATCATACACCACACCATACCATACCATACCATACACCATACCATACCATACCATACACCATACCATATACCATACCATACCATACTATACCATACCATACCATACCATACACCATACCATACCATACCATACCATACCATACCATACCATACCATACCATACTGAAACCTGTTCCACTGGTTGACAAATCTTACTATTAGGAAATTTCTCCTAATATTTAAACTGAATATATTCTGGGGTCCTTGCTGATCTCTGAACTTGGTTGTTTTCTTGCAGACTTTTCATTACCCAACTGGGGCACTGATGATATTACCTACTTGGGTAGTGAAGCATCTTCAAAAAAGAACCAAGCTCAGACAGCCGCAAGGACCCCACAGTTTAACCTGAAGCTACAAATATTCTCTTCTATTGATGATTACACTCTGTAGTTCCAACTGTCTTACTTCTGCCTTTGGGGTGGTGGTAACAGAGAACAAGCCCATTTCCTCCTGTATATGACAACCCGTTTGATATCTGAAAAGGTAGATCATTATATATCTTCAATCGTTTCTTATGCAGGCTAAACCTGTCCACTCCTTTTAAAGGTTTGTCATAGGACTTGACTTGTACTTTCTCAGTCCTACTTCAGAATTCAACCATTATAGCACTTCTCTGTCTAGCTTGTAGCCCCACAGGCTGAATTGGTCTCAAGAAATTGCTGTAATCTCCTAAGGAATTGTTTGTTCCATCTCTCTCTCTCTCTCTCTCTCTCTCTCTCTCTCTCTCTCTCTCTCTCTCTCTCTCTCTCTCTCCCTCCCTCCCTCCCTCCCTCCCTCCCTCCCTCTCTCTCTCCTCTATCAATCTATCTACCCCTCTCTCTCTTTCTCTCTCTCTATTCTGTCATCCCTGGGTTCAGAACTATTGGGCAACTATCAGTTTACTTATTTGAGCTTTCAAATGGACAAAAGTACAGTGTCCTTTCTTTGGGGCCCCTCTGTCCCAAAACACATTGGGAATTAGGAAAATAAGTGCAATTTGGATAATTAGGCTAAGGTTATTTTTTTTTAAAAAAGAGCAAACAAATGCTTGCTTTAACAAATGCAGTCCACAAAAAATGTTCCAAGGGTTATGTCCGAAGCAAACAGGATGGCTAGATATGTTTGGATGTCTTACTCAAGCTATTTTTGATAACTGTCACAAGAGGAAGCTGCTACAATCGGCGTTATTGTGCTCTAAGGCCCTCATGAGATTTTTTTTTTTTTTGCCTGTAGGACAAGTCTGAGTGAAAACAGCTGAGAAGCAGTGCCAAGAAAGTAGAGAAATTCAGAAAGAAAAAAAAATCTGAACATCATTTTCAGCTTAAGAGAGATATCAGATATTTAGCCAGCTATTCACTTTGCCCCAATAGACACTAAAGTTCTGATACAAACTTGGAGGCCCTTAAATCTATTTTTTCCCTCTCTGTGGCTAAGAATAAAGAAATCTCAAGGAAGGGCCCACATGGGAGAGCTATAATTTGATTTTTATGTGTTTTTATGAGCTTCTTGCAAAATGTGTCATGTTGTGTGCTCAAAGCCATGTTTTTATGAATCCTGGTAAATCTATGTGAAAAACAGGTTTTCAGTTACTCATAACTTTCTCTGCCAAAGAAACTTGTCTACTATTTTTTCAAAATAGATTTTCTTCTTTTCTAGTGATCATGGATTTAGGTCTATTCCCTGTTCCACTGAATCCTGATGGACTCCCTGTTAATATGTTGCCCCCAGTTGGTTATATTCTGAAGTGGGTCACTTTTACAGTCCAAGACTGGATTAAACCCCCACAGATCCTTGTTGGGAACTAATATTTACAGTCAATGCCCTCTTCTCTGTAACAGCCCCTCAGATATAGGAAGACAATTATCACGTCCCCCCCCCCAATCCTTCTCTTTGATAGGCTAGACACATCTAGCTCCCTCAATTGTTCATCATATGATTTAGCTTCCATACTCTTTATCATCTTTGTTGCTCTTCTCTGTGCCCTTTTCAGGGTCCCAACACCATTTTAATATTCTGCTGGCCAGAACTGTATGCATTAGTCCAATAATGGTCTCACTAATACAGTATAAAGTGATATTATCACTTCTTGTGAATCTGTAGGGACGTCTAGGCAGTTGCCAGGAGTCAAGAATGACTTGAAGGTGTGTGCACACATGCATGCATGCACGTGTTTGCATGTACACCCACCACACACCCACCTACCCAGATGCACCCTCCACAAGATCTAAGCTCCCAGGCCAGCACCTTCACCACTTCATCATATTGCTCCTTGGTTGAGAGAGAGGAACTAGCTCGAAGTTCCCCAGGAGACTGTTTGATGGAGGAGGACTAAAACTTGTGTCTCCCTATCCTGGTCCAGCACCTTAGCCACTATATCACATTGGCTTCCCTTTAACCAGAACTGAGTAATATTTGAGAGCCAGTTTGATGTAGCATGTAAGGCACCAGGCTAGTAAATAGGAGACCACAAGTTCTCATCCAATCTTAGACACAAAGCCAGCTGAGTAACCTTGGACCAGTTGCTTTTTCTGGAGGAGGAGGAGGAGGAGGAGGAGAAGAAGAAGAAGAAGAAAGAAAAAAAGAAAACGAAGAAGAAGAAGAAGAAGAGGAGGAAGAGGAGGAGAAGAAGAAGAAGAAGAAAGAAAGAAAAAAGGAAAAGAAGAAGAAGAAGAAGAAGAGGAGGAGGAGGAGGAGGAAGAAGAAGAGTCCTTTTTCTGGAGGAGGAAGAGGAGAAGAAGAAAGAAAAAGAAAAAAGGAAAAGAAGAAGAAGAAGAGGAGGAGGAGCAGGAGCAGCAGGAGCAGCAGGAGGAAGAAGAAGAGTCCTTTTTCTGGAGGAGGAGGATGAGAAGAAGAAAGAAAAAGAAAAAAGGAAAAGAAGAAGAAGAAGGAAGAAGAAGAGGAGGAGGAGGAGGAGGAGAAGAAAGAAAAAGAAAAAAGGAAAAGAAGAAGAAGAAGAGGAGCAGGAGGAGGAGGAGGAGAAGGAGGAGGAGGAGAAAGAAAAAGAAGAAGAAGAAGAAGAGGAGGAGGAGGAGGAGGAGGAGGAGGAGCAGGAGCAGGAGCAGGAAGAAGAAGAGTCCCCAAAACAACCCTGACTCAAAGGAACACATTCTCTATGGGAATAATACTGAGAGACAAGAGGAGGCGGAACAGCAGCAGAGGCAATGTCAGACAAGAGATGTCTCAGCCCACAGAAGGAATGAGGATGGAGAAAGCATCTCAGTAGGGACCCTCCCTCTTTCTCTGGTAAGTAAAGGCAAGGGAGGGGAGAAATGCTTTCAGACTTGCAAGATGCTGTTAATCCAACCGTACAATAAAGGTAATGTTGATATCATGGTTTGGTTTCTTGCCTGGATTACCTAGAAGGACTGACTCCTGAAAACATGCCTCTATTTCAGCTCATAGTTGCCTGGATTCAAACAGCTTCTGAATCCAATATATAAATGTTTTCTGAAATTAAATATACATCCACCTCCTTGTTACAGCTCACATCTATAATCTGTTTATATTTTTTCGGAGGTTGACATTTTGGGTTCTTGTTACATTTAATCCATCAGATATAAATTTGAATTTTGTCTTTTGTTGCTTTGCTCTGGACCTGTATGGTTTCCTCTTTAGCATAATGGATCTTCCCTGGACAAACGTTTTTTTTTTTTTTGAGTTATGACCCTTGTCATGCTGTGGTTCTCCACCTAAGAAAAAACAGCTTCCGACTTCTTAAGATAATTTAATAGGACATCCCAAAACAATAAGAACAGAAACAAAAAACACATTAGCAAACAAAGTACATTAGGAAAAAATGTTTCTATCTCATGGAAGGATGAAAACAGAAAGCTAGATGACTGCTTAGGAATAAATCAAAGCTGTGGACAAACTGATCCAAAAAAGTATAAAAGCGTGACAAAACTTAGGAAAACAGGAGAACAAAATATGGTCTTGGAGTGGGATAATTCAAACAGGTTTACCTAGAATGAAGTGGTGACAACAATGTTCAAGTATGCAGATGTATTTACTTGAATTATAATTCTTAATCCACGTTTTAACTCAAAGAAGAAGTCAAATGTTAAAAATAGCAGGAATAGTTTAGAAAATCCAGGGCAGAAACTAAACAGTGGATGGGCGGACTTCAAAACTGAAGAAGTTTCTTGGATGAGAAACGAAACATCTTCAAGAAATTAATAATAATAATAATAATAATAATAATAATAATAATAATAATAATAATAATGTTGGAAGGGATCTTGGAGGTCATCTAGTCCAACCCCCTGGTCAGGCAGGAAACCCTATACCATTTCGGACAAATGGCTGTCCAGTCTCTTCTTAAAAATTTCCAGTGTTGGAGTATTTACCGCTTCTGGAGGCAGGTTGTTCCACTGGTTAATTGTTCTAACTATCAGGAAGTTTCTCCTTAGTTCTAGGTTGCTTCTCTCCTTGATCAGTTTCCATCCATTGCTTCTTGTCCTGCCTTCAGGCACCTTGGAAAATAGCTTGACTCCCTCTTCTTTGTGGCAGCCCCTGAGATATTGGAACACTGCTATCATGTCCCCCCTCGTCCTTCTTTTCATTAAACTAGACATACCCAATTTCAGCAGCCTTTCCTTATAAATAAAGTCCAGTTGTCTTTTGAAAAAGCATCGTTGGGACAATCATGACCTGGGTGACTGAGAATCTTCTTCCTGCTTACCCTTGTCTCCCCTGGAGCATTTTTCTTTTTTGCCCTTAAATCAGGCACTATGCAGCATCTTTACCATAGTAACTGTAGTAACTGCTGATGACCAGGAATTAGGGGACAGTATTAATTATGAATACATATAGATGGCTTCTCTTTCTTTGGTCACTTGTAATCCTGGATTCAGGGTCAAGAAAGGATAGCAAGGACAACACCCAATGTCCTAACTCACCCAAGAACATACGATATCTTTAAGTAACACTCAAATGAGAACATGTTTAGCTAATTCTACTTTCTCCCTTCTTATCTACAGTATGCCAGACTTACTGGGTGCAATCTTTATCTTATGTGTGTCAGCTTTGCTGGATGGGTTGATTATGTAATTATACAGAATAAATACAAGGATTTCTTGTCATTTGTTGCTCCCCTCATTTAGAGGAGTCCGTCTCTATTCAGCTGAATAAGCACGTAAAACTTAAAAGGCACTTTCTGGTTTCCTGTATTTCTTCAACCAGCAAAACCTCAGAACCTGCATATCACTGCTTTGACTATTGAGTTCTAGTTCAGTTGAACTCACCAAACAGTCTCCAGGTTCAGATCTCCACAGATCATGTTAGAGTAGCCTAGTCAAGAGGTTGTTTATGGCTTTATTGCATAGGGCTTCTCTTTCCTTGGAAGCAACTTGAGTGGTGCATCAGAGGAAGCTAGAAGAAGAAATCCAGAGGGATTCTTAGAACCAAGAAGTTTCCTGGTCTCACTCTTACGTAGAAGAGTGCAGAGATGTCTTTGAAGAAAATATGCAATAGTTACTGAGAATGCATGAATTTAGGCTAGTGTTATGGTTCCAGCTAATGAAACATTTCAAAGAACTTCCAGGCATTTATTTTCCTAAAAGTCTTTTATTGTTACAAAATGTCGGCACAGGCACAATGGAGGGATGCTAGGATCTAAGTTCTCTTCCTCTGAGCATTTAAATTATCAGCATGTTCCCTCCCTAAATTAGCCGTCATATACCACATTATCCAATTAGTGTGAAGGTCAAAGGTTTTCTTCCTCTTTCTTTCCGGGCTTTACCCCCACCTCCCTTCTGCTCTGTATTAATCCCATAAATACCAGACAGTTCTGCATATTGTCAAAAGCAAGAATATACAATATTTGCAGCATTGACAGCTAGGGTAAAAGAAAGATCTGAGAAAAACAATTCAAGACTGACCTGCCCTGATTCTCTTGGGCACAAGAGGAAGGAAAGGAAAAAACACTGTCATGCTGCTATATTCTGTTATTATAGTCTTTATCACTTTATTGTCCTAATATTCCTTGTGGGATATGTTGACCTAGTCTTGAAGGGGGCTATACCATGGGATAAATATGTCCTTGCAGACCTTTTTTCTGCCATGTCCTTCATCTCATCTTCAGCCTGCTTTCATGCTCATCTTCAACCCATGCGTGAATAACTTTAAACCGTTCTTACTGTACAAGTAAAAAAGTAAAGGTTTCCCCATCAATTGTGTCCATTTCTTGGCTGAGGGAATCCAAAGACAATTTCTGCGGTCATGGGGCCAGCAAGGCTATATATCAAAGGCATAGGGAACACTGTTACCTTCCCATTCGAAGGGATACCTAGTAATCTACTTGCATTTGCATGCTTTTGAACTGCTACGTGGACAAAAGCTGGGGCAAGTAATGAGCTCACCCTGCCATGCAGTGCTCGGGTCTTGAAACTGGGCTGTCAGCTCTTTAACTGCTGAGCCATTGTGCCCCTTTTCCAAGAGCCCACAATAGTTGCAAGATATGAAAGGCATGCTGGGGGAAACACAGTTGATTTGTGACAGATGGAATCAGCCCAGCATGTATTGGACTCTTACAAGATGGATGTAAGCACATCTCTTCTTTTCCAGGCACAGTGTCAGCCTGGTGAGGTAATCCAGACCCAGAAGTACTAGCTTTACTTTATTGTAAGGCTACGTTAACAGAATGTTGTAAATCTGAAAGTACATACCGTATTTTCTGGTGTATAAGACGACTTTCTAAGGCGTGGAAATCAGCGCCAAAGTCGGAGGTCGTCTTATATGCCCAGTCGCCTTATACGCTGGAAAATACGGTATCCTCCCCTCACGTTTACAGCCAAATATACTTGGGAGGGTCCCTTCTGAGAAATTTGCCATACCCACATTCCTTCTGCAGGCTAAGCTGCCCTTATCCTACCATTTTCTTGGCTGTGACGCTTCCCTCTGTTCTCCCCAGGTCATCCACAAATAACAGTACATCAGGCACAGTCCACCATTTTTTCATTCCCTTGCCAAAAGTACTGGACGTCATGGTGGACCCACCACTTTCTTTAGCAGATTTTATGGAAGTACAAAGGTTAAAAAATGTACAAAACCTATACTCTTTTAGAAAACATGGAACCAACATCCTTTAAAACCTGAGGAAGCTGCATTTAATGTCCTTGATAGTTTTATGAGACTCTCTGCTTGTGAGACTCAGCTTTCATGATCCCATTCAGTGTAATCCCAGCTCATCTCCCTTGGCAATAGGAAGGATGTGTGCTATCAAAGATAATGGGCTTCAGATGACAAATACCATTCCATTCCTGCTACAGTGGTGTCATTGTGTGAGGTTCAAACAGAATATAGGGACAGTGAAACCAGAAGGTTGTGTTACTTAATATATTTTGCAAGCACCAGATCAGGATACTACTACTCAACAGCAAGCCCAAACATGAGTAACTGCAAAAAACAAAAACTTTAAAAGATATGATGTAATGTACTAAGGAGGGGGATCCCCAGGAGAGAGAGGGTGCATTCCAGTGAAATAAGAGGCAACTCAACCTGGATATCACATGTGAGAGAAGGAGAGTGAA